AGCTGCTAAAACTCAACCATTAGGTATTTGTTTTGTACAAAAAGCACTTTCATAGCATCAGTTCGAAATAAAATAGTAAGTTTTTGTACAGGGGATCTCCAGAAAACCTGTGAAGACCCGCTCAAAAGCCATTAATATGGTATCAAATCATATGTATTCTGAAAGTAGACGCTTCAGGCTATCTTTGCATGTGCTTATCTCAAAATCCGAGAATCGTCATTTCTGAGGGGGGGGCCCTTAATGAGGGAAGGGTTTTCTTTGCTAAAATGTTTGCAGAGGCGCGGAAAAGGGTTTTTAGGGTCTAAAAATATGTTAAGGTTAATCGTGGATAAAAACTGCATCGGATGAGTTAACATAAGACTGATTTGAAAGGGGTTGATTTGCGGTCCTATCGTTCTCGGTCCTCTATTTCTGATGCTCTAGTAAAGAAAAAAGAAGACATTTTATCTTCTCACAGAAAACGATGATGAAGGCTAATGATCAAAACTACATGAATCACTGCAAAATACCTTTTGTTATTAGATTGAAATGGGTGTACGCATAGCTGAGCAGATTGTTTACTATAGTTGCGAATTTCGCAGATTTATTGTAAAATATGTGATATCACGACCAATAAAAAGATCAACTCATCTTGCGAAACCCATCCTTCGAAAACCTCAACGGTATAGAACATTTACAATTCCTAAAAAAGCTTTACGACTACTAAGTGATGAAGAGAAAAACGATAATAAAAACCACAACAACATTCGTCCACAAAGTAACAAAGCTTCAACTAGTAATGATCAGACTGGACAAATCGCATCGTTCCTTGCTAAGCATACAGCTAATGAACGAAGATCGTCTGGTGGCAACGACGCTCAGTTAGTTCAACTTAATAAAGATAACGGTATGTGAAGGATATTATGGACAGCTTTTATGATCTGTTAATGTTCTTTTGTCGCCAGAAATATTTAACGAAATGTTTGATAGCTATAGTCTGATTAAGTTTTCCAAAACAGGATCAGTTTCTGGTCATGAGAGCCTATACCTCAAAGGCATAGTGGTATTCTAGTGCTTAATTAGTTCAGACTAGAGGAGCAGAAAACTTGCCAGTGTAGATTGACTTTATTTTTTTATATAGATGCTAGAAATGGATATTCTGTAATATGGTTTACCAGTGGTATGGCTACGAACGAAACTAGAAATAGAATCCAAGATGAACTCGACGAACCGATTGTATATTTTAATGAGAAAGACTCTTGTTTAGAATATATTCATTTGAACAAGAATAAAGACATATTTTTGATTATATGTGATGAGAATATACGAGAATTTATCCCCTTAGTTCATGATTTATCGCAAGTATATTCAGTATTCATCTATTGTTCTGATAACGATATACAATTACTAACATCGTGGTCTCAATCTTATCCGAAGTCTAGTGGTGTATTTAGTGTCGAAGAACGCCTTCTTTATCAGCTGGTCATTGCTTTAGCATTGTACTGTACACACATGGGTGATGCTTACAGTCAATCAGGTAATTTTAATTTAGCTGATACAAGCTATCAGAAATCTGATCATTTCTACAATAAAATGATTGAACGATTACAAAATCAACATGCCTGATATAAACTTTATTCATCTAGAATACAATCGGAAAAATATTTCATTATAGTATTCTAAACTAAATTTATCGAAACTATTACATACTTATTCTGCAAGTACGCGCTATTGTAAAGTAACATTCAAAGAGCGATTTTATTGTTCTGTATTTCAGTTTTTTAATGCCTTTAAATGTAACTTATATTTGGTAAGTTACCATACATGTATTCGATTATATAATAAAAAAATATTACTAGGACGGTGTATTTAATGACTCAGAGAACTAAAGAAATCTATCAGAAATCTCGATCAAATAAGTGTTTGTTAAATACGTGATTTTTTCGTTAATCTTAATTTCACATCGGAGTGAATGGTTTTTTTTAGACTATTCACCTGTAATGTTACGTACCGAATTATTTGATATTTCGTTCACGGCAAAATGAAGCTATTCGTAGCTGCACGGTTTTTCAGTAACGAAACGTTGTATACATAACTGATTGTTGAACATGAAATGTGTCCCAGAGGTAGCTATTTCTAAGTGATTACGAAAATCTCGTTTGTCCGTACATTTCTCACATATTGTATTGTTTCTCCGACTAATGCAGGATGACTGACACCTACCATATAGCTTCTAAATGATGAGATCTATCTTATAAGCCAATGGAACCTTTGTAAATAAATTTCGAAAGTCAGACCAAACCATTTGTAATTTTAGATGTGACTTGAGAAAAGACTTCATTAAATTTGTAAATGAGCCCTTAATTATACTAGAGCTAGTTCGTACACAACTTACAATGGGTTTTTAAAATAATCCAAATTTAAAATAATTGTGATAACAACAGCTTCGAACAACTTACATTCATTGAAATAGTAAACGTCGACGTTTCTCTCTTTTAAACAGTATTCAAAAACAATAGTGTAAAATAAATTGGAAAGATTCATCCGATGAAATCTCATTGATTAGACCTAAAGTTCATTGAGTAACAAATTAATCGTGTACTGGAAGGAAGAGGAAAAATTGCCCGTCCTACAGCTACCGTTACCCGGCTTGTCCAAGCGTAACGCTATGACGTTTTTGACATACTATTTTTCAATTATCTCGGAAACTTTAAGAGCTAGGGAGTTGGTTCAAACGCCATTCGACGCAGCTCATCATGCTCTATTTATGCTATAAAAATGAATAGTTTTGGTCGAAGTCTGGAGCCTCTAGAAATACTTTTTAGGCGGGTAACGCTGTGACATA